TTCTCACCAAATCACTTAATACAAATTTTCTCAATTACTTAAAGAGTTAAAAGCAAGTTTTTGATATCATTCAAGTTTTTTTTTTTTTTTTTTAACATGGTTAAGATCATATTAATGTAACAACGGTCATATGACATCTCTAGAAAAAAATTCTTATTTCAATGATTAAAAACTTATAATTAGAAACAAAGAGATTGCACATGATCTTCTAGGTCAATTAGCATTCAACCAACTTGAGGTACATTTTTTTTTTTCAGTGGTCGGGTTTCGAGACCATCCCTTGACAACTTGTTCAAAAAAAAAAAAATTAGAAACAAAGAGATTAAGCACAAATAGAGGTATAAAATACAAATCAATTAAATTTAATATTAAATTAATATTACAAAAAGATGGTAAATGGATCACACCAATAACCTTTGATAAAACTAATATTCACATTTTTTTTTGGTCAAGCGTTCCAAACTTCCAATACTACCAAATAGCTTTTAGTTTAGTCTTAAAATAAATTAGCACAATCTCCATAATGAAGCAGCTAGAGGATCCACGCTAACAGCGACCAACCCCTAATATCTTTTGTTTTGTCTTCTTGATCACCATAGCTGAACTAGACAAAAGAAAACAAGGAACTTGAAAAAGAAAAGGAAACAAGACCACCGAAAGTGGCCAAAAAAAAAAAGCCAATACACCACTAAAGCTGATCAACAGACTAAGGGAGCACAATCGGCCGACTCCACCATGCTTGAGAGGCCGAAGGGGTTCCGAGCACCAAAAAATGAAAAGCTTTGGGAAGTTTCTGGTTAGAAGCAGGAGGGCTCTAGAGTACGAGAAAGTCTGCTGTATCCCCGGGATACAGCCCAATGGGAAAACACCACATCAACAATTTTTTCAGACTTCATCAATTCCAAACCCAAAAAACAACTGATGTGGTGTTTTCCCATTGGGTTGGGAGTACAGTGAGAAAAAAGCGGATGACACCATTCCAGTTAAAGTCAATGAATTAGTGAAAACTGATTTTCTCCACAACATTGTTAAGATTATGTTTGACTTAGAAACTTGTCAGTTTCTTAAATTTTAAAAAATATATATACATATATTAATTTGGACTATAAAAAATAGCGTTTAATTTTAAAAATATTTAACTAATTATTAGATTTAGTGTTTTATTTATGTATATCATGTATATTAATTTTTAGATTGATTAAATATATGTAATTAATTTATTAATTGTATAAAATTTGTTATTGTTAAATATATATTAAAAATTTTAATATTTTAATTAATTAATTATAACTATTAAATTAATTTAAAAATTAATGTGTATGATTTATATTAATAAAATATTAAATTTAACGTTAGTTTTTGAAAATA